TCTGCTCTGGTATTCACCACATTACATTGTGTGATAGAAATTTTGTTTCCTATAAAATTTTCTTTTTTGTAATGTAATAATTGAAGTTTTTTTTAATTTATTTATCCATGACGCTTAATCTGACATGAAATTAATATTATCTGTACTAACACCCGACTTTTTACCGCTAGACTACCGCAAGCACGATCCAATTACAATATAAGTCGGCCGATTCTATTGACAATGAAAAAATTTAACGACACGGTTAATTTTTAAAAAGAAGTTAATTTACGAACCGGTCAGTAAGTGGCAATAATTTCTTACGCACGTACACGGCTGCGGTGCCAGATGATCAGGGCGTGGCGACTGGCGACCAGTGAAAGTGCCCTAACTAAGAGTTAGCTGTACTTTAGTTTGTATCAGCGCGTTTGTATCAATGTTTTTGTCACAACAACAGCAATGAGAAAGCCTTTAGGACAGTATTAGTAATTTGAATGCCGTTGCTTGATATTATTTAGGATAATGATTTCTTAAATTTACGCGAACACTACACATTGAATAAAACTATTATTTACGAATTTTATCGCGTTTAATTATTATTTTAAATTTATTTTTACTATCCCGACGTTTCGGGTGCTTTACAGCACCCATTGTCACGGGGGGTACTGAGATGTTTGACGTCCCAATGTCATAGTTAGCCCGGCTACCTTCAGTTTTTGAATATTAATTTTTGGTCCGACTTACGCCAAACGAGCTTATAGTATCATGAAGTCTTGCTGTGGTATGCTCGGGTTTGGGTTTAATTTTGTTAATTATAGGATTCCAAGCAGATGGCAGCACCCATCCATCGTCTCCATTGAAATTTGGATGTTTTTTTTTTAATTTCAATAGCCTCGCGTATCATCCTTGGTAGGAGTCGGTGTTCTTTTGCGAGGATTTGTGGTTTATCAAATCTAATATAGTGGTGGGGACGATATTGAACATGTTCGCAGACTGCAGACTTCCCGGAGCGTCGGTACTTCACGTCTCCTAATGTGAAGACGTGAAGCACCGACGCTCCGGGAAGTCTGCAGTCTGCGAACATGTTTAAGAGTGACATGAAGTACAGTTACTCCAGTAGCTTGAAAACGTCTTCCAATGCAGCGGTGAAGAGTTTCAAAGATATAACATCACCCTGTCTTACACCTCTCTACGGTTGGATAGGTTACGTACTCTAATTCTGTACTCGGATAGCCATCGTAGCCCTACTGTACAAACACTTTAGCACTTCGATATACCGAGAGTCAACTTGGCACCGCCGAATGGACTTTAGCACTGCCCAAACTTCGACGGAATCAACGGCTTTCTCATAGTCCACATAAGCAAGACATAGTAGAAGATTGTGATTCCCAGAGCGTCGGTGCTACACATCAGCGATTAGTTTTATTTCATTTTTTAAACATGTTTTAACGTGGTAGTAATACACTAGGGTAGTAGGTACAACGTTCTCATAAAATACCAGCGTTAAAAAGTAGCTTGATTCTACTGCATGGTGAGTGTGGAAAACCAGAGACCCTTTTTACTGATAACGAGGCGATCTTAGTCCTCAGGGATGAGAAGATCTTCATTCTGATTCTTAATATATAACAGGCGAAGGTGTCTTATTGCATAAAAAAACTTGTAATGTGAGAAGATTTATGTAAGTTGATTAGAAAATTTTATTACAGCTGTTTACTCATGTCCGCCATTTTAACGGTTTTAGAAAATCTTTTGTTTTATAAGTGGTAGAGCCATGTAGCATGTTATGGCTACAGCATTAAAGGTTCGACTTGAACGGCAAAGAACCACGCTCACAAAAAAAAAATACCCTCGAAACTAGAAACATAGGTAATGCTGTTGTGTTTCGTACAGAGTACGCAAGAACTAGAGACTCTTTTACTATTTTCTGTTCTTTCGTTCTCTCTTTTCTTCCCTGGACGGAAGTTATTTCTGAGCTAGTGGTAAAAGCATAAATTAGTTTCAATAAGTATTCCTGTTATCTGTAATGAATATACAACTTGATCTGTGATAGATATAGGTGACTATGGGCCCAACATTAACTTATCATCAATAGGAGTGTGCCGCTGTGTTTAACGATTCTCGTTTTAAAGTCAGTCAGTCAGTAATCATATCCTAAACAGCCTCGCCATTACATCAGATTCGACAGATAACTAATCCTTACGTAAGAATGTCGATTCTACTGAAATTAAAAAACCTCTAATTTCAATAGAGCGAATCGTCGGTGACCGATCTTTTCCGATCGAATTGACTCACTGGCACTGCGAAGAGATGTTGTATCTCTTTGCGTATTTTACCGCATCTACCACGGGGAGTGCTCTAAGGAATTGTTCGGACTAATTCCAGCCGCACAGTTTCACAATCGCACATTGCGACAAAAGTCGCGATACCATCCATACCATCTGGTCATCCCGATGGTATAGATGGTATCACCAGCTTAGTGACCACTAAGCGATTTAAAAGAAATTTTCTTCCTCGCACAACTTCCTTGTGGAATCAACTACCACCAGAGATTTTAAACACGTTTTCATTCGTTAAAAACATTTTTGAAAACATCAGGATCATTCATCAGAGGTCTTTTTTCACGAGCTGGTTAAAGGCTATAACGGCCTCTTCTAGCTCCATAAATATGAGACCTTTCATCAAATCGTTGATTTTGGGAAAATAAAGAAATATTGTTGCGCGGCTAAGTTGACATCTGGCACTAGCGCCATCTAGTGTCGGGTAACAGAGCGAGGAGAGAGCTTTCCAGAAAATGACATCACTAATCTTTCAACCGACAGCGCCATCTGTTGTCGAAACGAAGAACTAAGCTTCTAGAAGCCCGACACTCGAACTTTCGAAGCATAGTCGATTGGCGCGCGTATTTACTTGAATGTTCTGGATTTTTCGGTGCTAAGGTGTATTTATAGGCGCTGCAAGGTGCGAAGTATTGAATTCGGCGAGACAAGCGAAGCTTCGGAGCGGAATAAAGTGAATCAGTGTGCTTAATTATTAGTGTTTTAAGTTTTAATTTGTGTAAAGAAAATTAAAGTGTTAATTTAGGTAATTCTATCGGCAATTTTTATTGTCACGAACCTCAAGCTCGTAACAATATCATGGTGCGAGATCCAATTTCCAATACCAATTTCCAAAATATCTTGAATCTCCTCATAGGTGATGCGCCGGTTTTCTTTATTTAGTCACCTGACATTAGCCACATTTTCTTCAGTGATCGCATTTGAGGGTTTTTTTTTAACTTTTAAAGTTACTATCAATTTCAACGACACCTAATATTTAGTAGCTAAGTCATCGACATTTGTATGCAACACATCTTCCTTCTTAAGGTTAGCATTGTTTAAAAATCCAACCATACGAAAGTCTATCATGAATGCATGGTCACTTCAATAGATCTTTTCTTGGCCGTCAGACCACTTGAGTTACCGCAACGGTCGACGTTTGAAACAGCTTTCAAAGATTTAAAAGAACCTTTGGCATGCGCGTCCAGAATCACACTGAGATATAGCATTTTCAATCAAAGTTAATCCGTGGAAGACCATTTTAAGGATTCTCAATTTAAAAAAAGAACATGACTAGGTGGAATTGCGGAAAAGATGAAAACTATTATGATAAATTAGTTAAAACAAAAAATTTTTTCGTCACAGCCATCCATTACATAATTAGAGCCCATCACAAGTCCACAGCTGAACATGAGTCCCCCCAATGAATTCCACAAAACACGGTACACTTGCATCCATCGACTTCCTGCATCTCTTTCCAGGTAATTCCAATAATTAAAATACTGTATGCCAAACTGTGCCGTAATCTAATGCTTTTTTTATAGAATATGTGTAATATACGAGCATACAGTCCACCTGATGGTAAGTGGATGCTGTGGCCCATAGACATCTTCATTTATCTTCGATTAAGAACCGAAATGCAGATGTGTTGTCACCCTTGAGGACTAAGATGGAATGCCCCGTTTGCAGTAGGAAAGGCCTCCGGTTCTCTACGCTCACCATACGAAACAGCAGTATTAAGTTGCTTTTTTACGCTGGTATTTTGTGATACCAGTCGAGTAGACGCTTTCATGCTACTACCACAATATAGCTGCAGTGTGATAGCCACGTAAAATTAACAAATACATAAACTCTTAGGAAATGGAAACAAATATTTTGTTGATTATCCTTATAATTATTTTCAGTTAAATTTTGCTTAGTTTAATCTTTTTTTATATTTAATAATGAATTTATTAAATATAAGGGGAAGTATGATAATAGATTATTATTATTATAATTATATAGTGTAATAATGGAGAATACGGATTGAACATTCAAGAGTGCCTCATAGTCAATAGCCAGCCAAGTTATTCGGTCAATAAATTACGTATTCTAGTCTATGAAACTCGCAGCAATTACTCAGATATATGTTTTTAATAAAATGTTTAACTAAAGTATTTAATAATTCAAGTACGTTTATTAGGGTACATAAAACATTTACAAAAATTTAATTATATTTAAATAAACAAGAGTAATGCAAAGCAGAACCAAGCCTTAAGCACCCGGGATTTTCAAATAAATTAAACGCGAGAAAGTCTTTATAAAAATTAATTTTAAGAATGTGTAGTACCTATTCGTATTTGTAAATAAAATAAATCTTTATTAATAAGAGAAAAATTTTTGGTTTAAACTTTTAAATAATTAAAAAATATAAATTCATATTTATACCGAGATGATATATTTTTGCACCAGGATCTACGGTCTCAACCTGTTATATTATCGACAATAATTAAAAAGCTTGATGATATTGATGTTAGAAGTTTCATGGAAACCATAGCTAAAAATATGTTATTTTAATGAAATTATTCGTGATCAAAACTGAAGATAAAAACCAAACTTCTCAAATATATTTGTTCAATAATATTATAAAACAATACTTTCAGGAGTTATAGGGGTATGTGGTATGTAGGTCACCACAACGTGCCAATAATTGTGTATTACACTTACCCAGTCCCACCTTAAACGATTTTGCGTCGCACTTGTATTAATAATATTCAGTCTGTTTTTCAATGGCTTATTATACTGTGTAAAATAAATTACTTTCGTCTATTGTACATATAGTGATATAATATGGGTAAAAAATTTGATATAATTTACATCAGATATGAGTATATCGATTGAGCGGCGCGCGGCCGCGCGCTCTTCTACGGAATGACGGCACCCCGTGTCCCGAGCTCCCGAGTGCGCGCGTTTTCCTCGCTTTCCCGCCGCCGACGGAGGGTGATGATTAGTAACTTAAGTTTGTAGTATGAAGCTTGAATTCTTCCATTCGAAAGGCAAACTTTTCATTCTTCCTATTTTTTAATATATACTTCATTTAAAAAACTGTTAATTAAAAATATACTTACCCATATTTATAAATTACTTTATATTATATTGGTTCTTAAAAAACTATTGTTTGTCTACTTATTTCTGTTTGCGTATTCATTCTTGATTACAAATAGCCTAATTACATTAACTGTAGATCTTTTCAAATTCACACAGCTGCTGTTATAATATGCTCGTAATTCAAATAGTCATAACATAGTGAACATTTATTTAATTAAAAATCTAAATCTAAATACAAATCCATTGCTATGTTACAAACAAAAAAGAAGTATTTATTGTTTTACAAAGGTACCAACTACTTCTAAAATCTTTGAATAAATATACATTTTTTTTCTAAAATCTTTTACAAAATATTTAAACTTATTATTACAGAGTCATGATGCACACCACCTTCGCCATGGATCCACGGCTCAGAACAAAGGTGAATAGGAATGTATTGCAAAGACGTTGATCTTTTTAGGTACAATCAACGCTGCCTTATTGTAAAAGTCTTAGGGTTTCATCTAGATTTTAACGTCAGTATGAAATGATTATACTTACCTCTGGAAAAAATTGACAGATGAATAATTAATATTTGACCATAAAGTAATTACATACATATATTTAGCATAGAGCATAAGAATAATCTTACATTGACATTTTCTCTGTCATTTTTACATAATTTGTTATCGAATCAATTGAATAGTATTAAATAATAGTAAATATAAATATTGCTATGTTAGTTACTAGACCATTAATATTTGCACACCAATAAGTTAGAATATGTAGAAGTAATTACACTTCAACACCATTTTACAACCATATTCTTGCAAATAAAGATTTATCTCTTAATATATTTCTTATTATAAACTAAAAGCAGTTTTCTTAGTTAAAGATCTATAATAATATGCATGTCTAATTTTATTGAGCTACTTTTAACATAAATGCTACACAATTATATAATGCTGATTAGCTCTAGAATTCCGTGATGAAAGGGAAAGATTTAACGATAGAAAAACTCTTATCACTTTGCAGAATTTGTTAATATAGTTATATGATTCAAGATATAAGTAGTTTGGTCATGTAGAAAGAATGAATGAGGAAAGAGTGACAAAGCAAATTTATATGGCAGATGTGAACGGCAGAGTCGGGAAGGGACGCCCTAGAAGAAAGTTTATCGACCAAATTGGCGATATTTTGAAAATTTGCCACGTTAGAAGTACCCTTAACCGACGAGCATGTATGCGTAGATATATGGATGTAAAGGAGGCGAAAGAGGTATGTCAGGATCGTGCCAAATGGAAGTCCATAGTCTCTGCCTACCCCTCTGGGTGACTGGTGTGAGTGTTTATGTTATGTTTATATAAATGCCAAATGTATAAGATAAATTTAATCAATAATTTTCAAATACAATATAAGTTAAGCTTCACAAAAGTATATAAGGGTCGAGCCCCTGAACATTGGGGTTGGTTAGGGTGAGCCGCGCCGCTCGGAACGCGACCCCTGCAACTTCACGTAATAAAACTGTTTCCCAACACCTAGCGCGTTGTAGTGTTAGTGAAGTAAGCTCTTATCTTTTAAAAGGTTAGAAGACAATGCATTTTAAATTGTCCTACAAACACTACCTACTTATATCGTTAATTTTAACTTTGTTATGTAACTTACTTTACGTTGCGTTGTCAGTTGTATTTTTTAAAGGGGAAATTATAAAATGTGGTAACGAGAAGAAGGGAAGCAGGGGGAAGGCATTATTTTAACAAAAGGAGAGATCACCTGATGTTAGGTGATCACTGCCGTTCATGATCATTCCCAAAACAACAGGAATTACATTACGAAGTCCATTTTCTTCTTCATCCATATCCATATCATAGCCGACTCTTACAAAACCTTCGAGAAAAGATATTATAGAAGAATGGATTCTTCATCTATCTTATAAATGGCCCGCCATAGACTACATAGGGAACGAAACGTAGCAAGTCGATATAAAATCAATGACCCGTCACATACCTACGGTAATTTTCCCGTCCGAAAAATTTTTCGCCCAAAACGATTCCGTATGTGTATAGCCGACCATTCGTTCCGTTTCATACTACATAAGGAATTCCGTTTTGGAATTTCGTATCTAGTATGTGGCCTAAACGGTTCGGAAGCCTTAATCGGAATTCTGAAACGGAATCCCGAAACATAATTCCGTATGTTTATGGCGGGGATTAATATTGAGCCGGGAGAATGCTCTATGGTATACCCGGGAGCCTACTCGTATATTCATCAGTAGACTTTTGATTGATTGTAATGGACGGATGGATGACTTTTTAAATTTAAGTAAAAGTCATAATTTTACTGAAAGCTCAATAAACACTTTCGACATGGTAACGATACTTTTATTCATTTAAAAGATACTTTCTCTTTAAAATGGACATCCAGAAGATGAAATTAAAGTATTTCTTTGTCTTTATCAGCCCTTAAAAGTCTACTGCTGGACATGGACTTTACCCATTATTATGAGGATCTCCACGGTTGGCCACCGAATTGAATGTAGTGAGGTAAAGAAAATCAGTAAATTCTACGCAGGAGCGCAACGTTGCAGCTATATTATGGTGGTAGCACGAATAGGTCGGCTCGAACGGGGTAGTCTACTGCTGGACATGGGCTTCACCCATTACTATGAGGATTTACCTCCACGCTTGGCCACCAAATTGACGATCGTAATGCCAGACGTTAAGAAAATCAGTAAATTCTACGCAGTAGCACAACGTTGCAGCTATATTATGGTAGTAGCACAGGTCGACTCGAACGGGGTAGCACCACGCTCTCCCAGAATAAAAGTTAAAGAGCTAAAGTTAGCCTACATACGTCTTACAGCTGGGCACAGGCTTCCTCTCATTTCTGAGAGGGTTTTAGGGCAAGGAAATGTCCGCTGCGCTGCCCCAATGCGTGTTGGCGAACTTCACAAGTCTACGAAATATTTTTTATCTTATTTCTCAAACATGCAGGTTTCCTCACAATGATTTCCTTCACCGCCTAGCACATGGTAAATCAGCATTTCAAACTGGCAATGACCACAACACTATCAGCATTACCATACCATACCATTGTGTATTAGTGCGAAGGTCTGCCATCTTATACAATAATTAGTCAACTGCAAGAGTCCAAAGAAAGGGTGACAACACACCTTACTACTTCCCTGTGGACAGCCTCTCGTAGTTGCAACCTCAATAAAAGTTTGAAACAGCGCTGTTTTGGCCTTTCTGTTTGAGAGCCTCGACTTCATCCGCCTGGTAATCGTGGGGTCAGTTTTAGATGGCCCCCAACCAGCAGTGATGTGTGGCTACTGTCGAGGGCGTTCTCAATATCTAGAATGGCACAAAGAGCTATTTCTTTTCCATTCAACGCTTTTTCGGCCCTATAAATAACACTGATCAGGGCTATTTCCGTAGGTTTTCCAATGCAGTAAACATGCTGGTTATAATATATAGATCTCATGGCTAGAGCTACTTCACTAATATACCTTTAACCTTTTCCAATGTCTTGAGAAGAAAGAAAGATGAAAGGAAGAAGGCTTATAGGACTTTGTAAAGGCGTAGTACTTTCTACCAGCCTTATTTGACGATAAAATACTTAGTGCATGGCCAAACCCATCCTATGCTCAATCTAAGTCTTCCTATGCACGCACTGCTATCAAGGTGACTCAGGGTCTCGCCGCGGCGTCAGTCAGCATTCAGTGACAATCCTACATTCACCGCGACCGATCAGACGGACATTGCGTCCCTGTATACAGTTGCCTCCGATATATTAATCGCAAACCGCATGTGACAGACATTGAGTCCTTCCGTTTATATTTAGTGGGATAAAAAAGGGTTGCAATATTCTCAATTTAATTCACAAAATATTAGTGTACCGTCTAATCTTAGGTTTACACTTCCGTCTATAGAGCGTACGACATTTTCGGGTGATATTCACTCATGGCCTTTATTTTATACCGACTTTAAATCAACCATCCATAACAACCCATCGCTCACCGATGCTGAAAAGTTATACTATTTGCTAGGTAAACTGTGGGGCAAGGCTCTGTCTGTATGCTCAGGTATAAGTGTTGCGCTGAAAATTACAAAATTTTATTGCAAACACTCATTGATAAATAGTAAGACAGGTGTAAACTAGCCTTCACGTATACAAATCAGATGTTCGAATTTAAGCCAATTGGCCACCACAAATAATTCTGATTTATTAACTGATTACTTTACAAGTGCATTACACGCTTTACAAAACTTAAAGTTAGATAATTTCACGAACTTAATTGTTCTTCATATCGCGTTTAAAAAGCTAGACCCGGATACCATTCGCTCTTTCGAATACAGTCATAGCTTGATAGTACCTACCCTTGATGGTTTAGTAAATTTTATTAAAACGTTCTACAACGCACTGATTCTAGTGCACATTCTAATGGACGACACACACGGTTAGTTCAACTGATCAGTTCAAACTACAACTGTTGATATTTTTTAAAATATCGTATTTTTGATATATCGATAAATAAACTTATATATAAAGCTCCGATATTGATATATTTAAAATTATCCATACATCGAAAATCCAATATTTAAAAAAATATTAAGAGTTTTAGTTTCAACTGATCAGTTGGAATGATCAGTTGAACTGACCGTATGTGGCGACCATAATAGTGGTTCTCTTCATATGCATTAAAAATGGAGAGA